ATCGTGAGATGCCAAAGAGGCACAAATAACTTTATTTGTTTAATGACTACTACAAAATGACGCCATCAGTCTTACATTTCAGTACTTCTCACCTATTCCTACACCCTAACTCAGCATTCATCTGCTTTATTCCTATCCAAAATTAATATCAAAAGCGCAAAAGTATTTACTCACACAAATAGTTATTTGTTTTTTCCAGAATATGGTCATTGTTGCCTTGCAAGAATGTCGCAGTATAAAAAAAACCTCTGACATTCTTTGCCGCGATTATAAATCGCTGGAATAAAATTCTTGATAAGGAAGCAAGCCATAGTGTGAAGTACGTGTTTCACACAGAAGTGCTATCCTTTAATAGATTTCAGCTTCTATATTTCCACTGTTGATTAACTTGAATATATCTGGTCCTAGCAAAATTTTACTCGGCTGTGATAACCTTCGGTTGCGCAAGACTTAGATGTATTACTATAATTTTACCAGTACCCTATAAGGTACTATAATTGGCAATAGGTCCTGAGGTGCATGACTTAAGTTTGCTAAGATCTTAAGCTGCTTTATATAAGGCATAATTAAGTCTGGTATACAGTAGACATATAAAATACTAGCGGCCTTTGCGGAAACATTTTTCATCCTGATCACCTCTCACGTTTCTTTTTGATCTACGAAACAATCCATCAACTTGTTTGTAAACAATCTATATCATCCTAGATTTCCTCTATCTTTCTTATCTATAAACTTTTTCCTTTTCTTAGTCGTTATTTCCTACGAATTTCGTAGAATCTTCAAACAATTAAATTCTCTAGGATGATCCCACTTGCTTCGTCTGGTTCTGGCGCAGCAGACTATCGTGCAGAAAGGGAATGTAAGTTTTACTTCGAATTTTTAACCTACTCGGATATTTTGAGAAATAACTGTTTATCTTGGAAGTATATTGGTGATAAATTGCGAAAATGGAGATATCCCGAAATCTGTAGATAACTTGCAAACTCGTCCTATAAGATGGTAGCACATAAACAATCAGATTTGCTGCTTTATAGCTATCACCCAGATACGATTATCTGAAAATCGAGAAATTGGGGTCCTCAATGACAGACATGCTGACTACATCTCTGAGGTGGGCCGCAGTGCTTCCACAGCTTCAGAAGATGACATCACATAAAATTTTCAGGTTCGTTTCCTTCAAGCAGTTCAACGCAAGCTCAGATTGCGTTTGGAGCAATGGATGAAAGCTGGAAAACCGAGAAAGAGGGAAGACATGACTGAGGTCAGTCTAAT